AGCGGATGGAGAACCTACAGGGCTGTATTGATATTTACCACGACTTCCAGCCTACTAGAGCTTCCCCAAAGTCTGTGCTGTTTTTGCCAGTTTTCTTAGCACCTTCAACTTGCCTTCACGCCTGTGTGTAAAGTTTCAATTTTATAAAGTCCCAGCTTTAAAATGTTTTTATAGTTTTGTGTTACTCAAATCTGATAAAGAAGAAGGTTGATTTAAAGTCCTAGTCTTAATTTGTATTAGCTTTTCTTTAGAAATCAGATTATGTATCTTTTTAAAAATCAATCATGCCAACATAGTTTTCTGTAGCTCATGAATTTCCTTAAAGTGGGTCTGCAGACATTTATTGAGAAATTCCTCTTTGTAGAGCACGTAGCAATTGTGACTGAAGTATAGAGGGCAGACTTTGGGAGGAAGCAGGGTAGACTGGGTAAAATCCACGTGAAAAAAAATGTACGAAAAATGTAGACATCAGAGGTTGGTGGAAAACATTAGCTGAAATTCATTCTTGGTAGTATTCATAGCAGGCTCACCTTCCTGGTGACTGCTGAAACTTGGTTGAAGACAGAGGTTAAAAAAAAAAAAAGATAAGCAGCACTTTAAGAAGTGGGATCCAGCAAGATTTGCCAAGAAAAACATATTCATAGAATTTGACTTCGTAAAGTCCTTAGAGAATATCTTAATAGTAAACGCTAAATAAAGGAGAGTTTTGTTGTTGTTGTTTTAAAATAGAAACTGATGACCAGAGCGATGACATGACTTTGCTGAGGTCCTCAGTCTTGATGGCAGGACTTGATCTTCAACTACTGATTGCTGGTGTGAAGTTTTCCACAGAGCGCATTGACTCTCACAGCCGTCATCTTTGAGCGAGTGCCCGGCAGTACTTTGTCTTGGCAGCGTTTTGCAGAGCAAAGACTGTTCTGTCCTCTCTTGTTTCCTTTGCCCCCTCCCCAAACCAGGGGATTTCTGTTTTGCTTTCAGAATCCTGTGATTCATTGTTCTAAGCCTTTCTTTGTTTCTTCCATTTGTATGTTTATAATAGCTATTAGACCAATTGCATTAGCATTCTTTGCTATTAAAGTTACCATTGGAAATAAGTAATATCAGACCTTCCAGAAATTCGTTCTTGGGAGTCAAGCTTCTTATGGTGAAAAAGAATATGAAAACAAATGTATGTATGTTCCTACACGACTGAAGCATTGTGCTGTACACCAGAAACTGACACAACCTTGTAAACTGACTATACGTCAATAAAATATTATTTTGAAAAAAGAGAGTCAAGCTTAGGGTGACCTTTTGCTCTGTTTTGTCATTTCTATAAAACAAATTCCCTAAAAGTGAGAATACATGAAAATAAATGTAGGGAGGGAAGCAATATAATGAATTCTGAGTTAGCTTGGTTTCTTTAGAAAGAATCAGATGTCTTATGTCTGTATGACCGCTGCTGCTGCTGGTGGTGGTGGTGGTGGTGTTCTCCGTGATGTAATGTTACTTACGCTACTGAAATTAAACAAGCTTCAGACTATGAATCAGTGCCAGCTGTAGGTATCGCCTCAGCCCTCCGGGTTGAG